AAGGCTGTATGACATCCGAGCCTTCACTGACCTTGTATTCTTGTGAAAAACAGAACAGAAAAGGATCTGTGCAAGAGCCTTGGGTGATTGCATGGAGGAGGCTGTGCTGAGATGGCAGCCGATGCACCTTCATCCAGCTCCACGAAGCAGCTGTAACTATCCCTGAGACCACGGAGCTTCCTGCCTGCAGGACTGTGGCTCACCAAAGGTGTCCAAAGGAATGGATTCTAAAAAAGGGGGTTTTTTTAATTAAAGAAACAAATAATTAGTGATCATCTTGGTTAAATGGTCTGATCACATTAGCCAATATGAGCAATGTCAGCAATGTCCATATCCATTGCCTGGACAGTGACAGTTGTTTAACTAAAGAAACTGACTTTTAGTCCCAATTTTGCGTTGTCCTTAGTGGGGGAAGATGCTTTCCTACCAGATGCTTTTCCTACTCATTCTCTTGCCATCAGCCAGAATATCCCTCTGCCCTCTGTTCAGTATCAAAGGGAAAGGCACAGAGGAATGGGACTTGTGAGCCTCCAATTCCACATGCTTGAGCCTTGCAGTGCTACCTTGAACTACACAAGTGAAGCTTTCAAAGGGGGCAATTCCAAAAAAGTCATCTTAGTGGTCCAGAAGTGGCGTGCAGTTTCCAGGATTTCCTCCTCTAATTTCCAAATCATCTTCCACATAACAAATCAAAGACCAGGGCTTAATTCACATGTGCAAGCTTTACTTGAGATTACAATATAGAACCTAAATTATGGAATCTTTACTTAACACTTGGGTGTACATTGTTATGGGCAAGAGGACATCATCTTTCAGTAAAAATAACTGAGTTCTAGAAGAGAAATGCACACACATCTGCATGACCAAAAGCTCCCAAATCTTTACCAAGACCAAGCTCTTCCATTCCCAAATATTTTATTTGGAGCTTCTAAAAAAACATTTGTAGTGTCTATTAACTGAACAACAACAATGGGAATCTCCAACAGTTCATTGCTTCCCACAGTCCGAGAGGTAAAGAACATAGAGAAAAGTAAACTGAATTAGATTTCTGGCTTCAGAAGTGGAACACACACATATTGTGATCAATAAGATATAAACCAATACTGTTTTCCTTTTATGTTGATAGAAATTCATTATGCATTAGAAGAAAAATATTCCAGCTATTTAGAGCAGCCTGCAGGAGGATTTAGAAGACTGATAATGAATTCTTATATGCTGCTGCATGACTGAAGCTCGACTCCAACACCATCACTTTGTTGCTTCCAGAGTATCATGCAGAACACAATTTATATACCAAGCACAGGCCAAATTACTGGTTCTTAGCTGCACAGAGACAACATAACTTACATGTATTTTTTGTCTGGAGATGAAGAGAAAGCTTTGCATTTCAGAATACAAGGGAAAGTTGTCCTGGGTAGTGCTTAAGGCTACCAAAATGTACTGATTCATCAAACCAATCACCAGGTGGAAAAACATTTAAAAGCATCTCTCAAAGAACAAATATCCCAAAACAACTCAAGAATGGAGGTGGAATGGGAAGAAATCGAAAACCCGTGCGTGTCAAGAGAATGGCACACAGGGAGGAGGAAGCTGTTTCATTTTGAGCACCAATGCAGAATATCCAGCAAGTACGAATCTTCAGGCACAAGCCAAGAACACCCTGCACTAGAGAGGCCAAAGATAGATAACAGCACAGTGGTTGACTGATGTCAGAGAAGGTATGAAGGTTGGAAAGCCTGCATTTCTGTCTCCTACACTGTTTCAGAAACCAGCAGCCTACTGTGCAGAATGCTGCAGCTGTACCTCATTCATTATCCTTGATTTTTTGTGTCCACCCACCGCTCGGCCCTGAAATCTGCACCCCCTCTTACAGTGTTAATGGCTCCACTGCTGATCTGCCCAAACTGCCCATCTTCAAGAACATAATCTTGTGTTTAATCTCCACTGCCATAATAGTGCCAGCACCCACCTTCACACCTTCTGGTATTGTAGTCTAAAATAAAGTGGCTGTTATTAGAACTGGAAACATCTAAAAAAAACGTCTGCAAATTCCAATGCACATATCACATGAAATGAAGCAAAAGAGCACAAAGAAAGAATAGTTTCCAAACAAAGCAACTTTACTAGCTTACTTGCATGGTAAAATGCGAACAACATCGTTCTGCTTGTAACTCTCAATGCAGACAGCACAATGATCAAAGTCTGGGTCTGTTTCCTAAAATGAATAGAATAAAAATTCAAGTCAAGAGCTGAGGCTATGACAAATGTACTAGTCACAACTACTTCTACATGAACTGCACGGTACCAAGTGGCTGTTACTAAGATACAAAACCAATGACTGAGTTGTTATATTCCAACATGACTTAAGTACCTTATACACAAAAAAGCTCCCTCCTCATTTGGAGCTGGTAATGATCCTTTGAAACACTGGCTAAGGCCGAAGATCATTCTGATATTCAGCTGAATCACTATGAAATGTAGTGGTGATATTCCTAGAGGCTTTACTTCAGCTGGGAGCTAAAACTTCTGTGTTAGTCAGTTGTGGGTTTTTTTGGCAGGTTAAGAATTCTGGAATTCCCTTTTATAGCCAGAACTAGCGATTTTTACTTGCAGCATTATCATCATTTTTATGGAGACATGAAGATGAGTATCAATGACTGGGTCCTCTCTTATTCTCTGTTTTCTGGAAGTTATGTTTTAAAATGTTTAATCATGAGAATTTAAAATATCTCATGAAAACGGGCTGACTCCAGTGATGTGGCATCAACAATAAATATTTAAAATGTTTGGGCCTGTGTCGCAAAACAGACCATGCCTTCTCTTAGTTCAAGCTCATTATTCTTTTTGATGCCAGCAAGCTGCTAGGAAGACACCGAGACAGGAACCACTGCAAGACAACCGTAGACTCACGGAATGGTTTGGGTTGGAAGGGACCTTAAAGCCCATCCAGTTCCAACCCCCTGCCATGGGCAGGGACACCTTCCACTAGACCAGGTTGCTCCAAGCCTCATCCAGCCTGGCCTTGGACACTTCCAGGGATGGGGCATCCACAGCTTCTCCGGGCAGCCTGTCCCAGTGCTTCACAATAGCTGCTCCCTGGTCAGCACCAGCGCTGCACGCAGAGAAGCCGACGGGCTGCGCTGTGGAAGGACAGGTTTTCTCCCACCCTCTCTTCACCTGTGTGTGCATCTCACACTGTCTGTACTGTCACAGTACAGGTACTTAGCAGGTTCGAATTTCTGCTGTCAAGACGACAGCCTCTTTTCTTTTATTATAGAAAAGTCCCTGTTGTCTGTATGTACTCCCATACCCACAGAAAAGATAGTGTGGTAGGCTGCCTTGAAATAAAACCACACCTGCAGGGAGGAAAAGCAGAAAGACCTTTTTGCTGCCTTCTCTCTGGAAGCAATTTTTTTCCATCACTTCCCAATCTTCTCTTGCTGACAGTGGTGATATGATAAAAAGGAACCACATTAAAAAGGCCCAAGGAAATAATCTTCTTTTAAATCAAATCATAGTGAGAATTCCCTTGTCTTTTGCAAATGAAAGAGCAAAAATTAAGGAAGATTAAGGCACTATTTCTTCCTTTCACAATCAAAGACAAAGTGGTACTGCTCATAAAAGCAGAAAATGCTTAGGACTTAACACATCATATATTTTAGTTTGTATACTCGCAAGAAATATTCTTGGAGCGACAGTTACTATCTTTAATGAACTACCTGCTTATACTCCTTCTCAGATTACTGGATATCCATATTTTACATAAGAGATTGTCCCTTATTACCTCATTTCTAAATTTATTTTTACTTTACACAACTTACATATGGAACGATCCTAAGCTTACAGAATTCCAGGTAAACAATGCCAGCCCCACACACTCCTACCAGCAAAACCACGCCAGCCAGCCAGCACACAAACCCGTTCTCAGTCACAGCTGTCAGATGGAGTGCAAGCAGTATTTATGCAAGAAACACTTCTTTGAGATGTACAGACTTACAGCATACATTGATACTGCAAGTTACACGAAATGCTGTGCCACAGGATAGATTAAGCCTCCAACAAGGCAGGCAAGATCATAAATCAGACGCAGAAAGAAAAAAACCTGAGATTGTTTCCCCCTCAGCAAAAATTAAACATGATGCTCAAGTTTACCATGTTGAAATCTTATACCTTATCACCCTTCTTTACTGTCCTGGTTGTCAATTTACCGATGGCTTTCTTGGCAGCATCTCCAAGACGACGCTAATAAAGTGACAAAGAAAGGAACACAAATTAACCCTGATAATCAAGCTTCATTACTGTCCTTAATAATGACTTACTTGGGCTCAGTACTAACATTGCTGTACACACTATGGCAGTGGGCCAGTACAAAAAGCACACACAGCAAAGCCCACAGATATTTGTCAGGAAGGGAAAAAAAACCACCCTGACAGTTGAGCCCACAGATGCAGCCCATAAGCATGGGCATAAACCTCATGGACTGTATAAAAGTCCACAGAAGTGATTCAAAACGGGTCCGACAAAATTAAGCAAATCCAACCCACAGGATAAAAGCTGAAGCAACATGCCCTCCTGATGATTTCTGTTCTATTCCATACCGCTTTTTATTCAGTGGGCTGTACTATACTCCTTGTTCTCTTCTTAAGCTTGAATTATTACTATTTTTTTTTTGCCTTCCCCTGGGCAGGCTGATTTTATTCTGAGATGTAAGAGATCTTCTCAGTGTAACCTAGTTTTTCTCTTACTATTACCTGAAACTACCAGGATCTCTCTCTCTCAAAAAAAAAGGGTCATGAAATCTAAACAAGCCAATACAGACTTAAATACAGCTGAAATTAGTACTGGTTTGAAGATGAACCCCCATCTGAATGCAGAGGCCAAGCTATTTTTTGTTGTTTATGCTGGTTTTATGACCACCACTACAGGATGGAGCAGCCATTTCTGCAATTCCAGCACTGATTCCTACTGCAATGCCCAGTTCCCAGCCAAGAAAGAACGGCTGTTTGCCAGCTGGTCCGTGGGATCCCAGAGACAGGGCACTGAGTGGAACAGAGCTCAAGTTGTCTTGTGTCAGGAACCTGAGACATGAGATTTGGTTTACATTGGCTGGAAGAAGGGAAGTTCATGTATTTCATCCTTCACCTTGTACTAAGTACTCTGCCTTTGAAAGAGATGGGCTGTTCCTGAGTGTAAACTGCACCTATCAAACCCCCAGTACGGCTGGAAACAAATGTCCATTTATTGTGCCCACCTCCCGTGCAGTCAGAAAATCAAATCCTTCTTAAGACGTACCCCCTGGATCACATACTTAAAGTGTTAGTGAATCTAAGAAGGCTGCTTTGAGAAACACAAAGATCTCAGAAAGCCACCACGACTATATTTATTGTGTCAAGGTCATTAACCGTACCACTGTCATTCTAGAATTACAGAAGTACATTTTCTTATGGTTCTCACAGAATGGCTCTTTATTTTACATTTTTTTAGAGTAGAGTTGTTAAAAAAAAAAATCATCAGATACTCAGTCCCAACTACTGAAGTTTACCCATACAGGAAACGCAGCACGAGAAACAGAGCTGGGATGGGGAGGGAAATGCAGCACCAGAAACAGAGTTGGGATGGGGAAATTATATGCTTCCTGAAGTCAGAAATCTCATCTTAACTTCAAAATGTGAGAAATTGATCAATTTAAGCAAATCTAACTCACATGTCCTGGAACAAGCATATTGGCCTGAGTACTTAATGACTGAGAGCACACTGCTGAAGTAGACAATCACTGCATAACCAAAAGTGAGGTTACTAAGAGAGGAACAAGGCTGAAAAGGCATTTGACTTAAACGCTCAACACCACCAACTAAGTAATTGTGGGTAGTATTTATATTTAGTTGTATGGCATATGATCGTATACATGCTGCAAGGAATCTTAAAGTAAGGTTATCTTCCTATTGGAAGTGTACTATTTCAGCAAGACTCTTCCAAAATAGATACATGATCTCTTACGTAAATACATCTGCTACACAATAACTTGCAGCTCTTCCATTTTCTCATTTTAAAACTCCAATTTTTTATGCTAACATTGAAAACGCTCAGGATCTGCGATTTGGATGCATCAGGGCGCAGGAATACAGCATATACTTGCTTTTAAACCCCAGAACTGTCTTTTGATGGGAAAGGCCACCACCACACCCCCAAGGTTCATACCTCTGGCGGAAGCGTGCAAGAGTAATGATGTGAAATGCCAGTATCTACTTGCATTATCTACAAAACACAGCATGTTTTTGATGTTTTTTTAAACAAAGTATGCCTCAACATAACTTAAAAACAAGATCGTAGCCTGAACCAAGTTATTGCATCACTAACAGTACAGCCTTCTCTCTGTGAAAGCTCTTTAAAAATAAGCTGTAGCTGTCGCCACCTTCTTATTAAAGTTTAATAAGCTCAGCTTTTTAAGCCACATAAAATTTTCATCAAGTTTCTCCTGACCTTTGTAAAAATCTAAAGAAAGAAAAAAGGTCACAAGAGCCCTTTCCCCACGGAGAAACTGTTTTGAAACATGGACATTTGGAAGAAGCCTAGAACCATATAGGGGATGCAGTAAGCACAATGTAGTATTCCACAGACATTCATTGAATAACAGTTATATTTAAACCTTCACCATCCCAAGGGACCACGTTAAGTACCAGTTACAGTGTGGTCATTGAAGAATGACATCCTTAGGAAAATCTACAGGATGCCCATGGGACCTGCAGCATCAGACACTATGTATAGAAACTGAAAAGGAAATCCTTTGTCACAACTGAGGCTTTATAAGGTTGTGCTTGGTTTAGGTTTGACAAAGCATCTTTCAAGATCCAAATCACTGCTTCACAGCTCTGCATCAGCTCTAATTCAGGGGAAAAGGGAGCACGGCGACTAGAGGTCAGCAGCTTTGCAAGTCAGCCCTGACAGAGGGAGAGAGGCAAAGAGAGCACCGCAGATTTCATCAGGTTTACTGACCCTTCTCAGTAAACGCCAAGGCACACGATGGAGGCAGCGGGTCATTAAGTCCACACTAGTAAAACATTTACTTCTGAAGTTTAATCCATATTTGAGTTGATGACTTGATTTAGTCAGAGTTTGGCCATACTTAATTCAGTTCTTAACAAAACAAAAATTCTTAAACAAATTAGAGTTGAAAAAGAATGTAAAAGAAGGCATGTTGGACAAAATTTTACTTAAAATATACGACCAGGAGAATTAAGCAGTCCACACTAAGTGTGATCTGGAATAAAGTTGAAAGTTTGTGCAGACCACTAAGCAGCTCTGTACCTTAGTTTTCCTGCCCTAACGTTCATGAGAGATTGTAGTTTGGACACACCTTTATACAACTTCTGAATTACCCTAACTATTACGAAAGCTATCCTTAGTAACATGGATGGAATTCATACCATCAGCTCTCCTACACAAAGCAAGTACATCCACAATTTATCTTCCCTCCCCATTCCCAACATACACAGTACACGTTATTCAGCCAACATCGCATCTATTTACCTCTTGGACTTATTAATACAATATTTTGCTTGAATTCTATTATTTCTTATCATGTAATAAGATCTTGTACTGGTGCTGCTCAGGCTGAAAACTCTGCTATATAAAAATTCCTTGTCCAGGAACATGCTCTGCCTTGGAATAAAGGGGTTCTGAACACCAGTCTGATGGACATTCCTCAGAAATTATTTGTTCTCTATTGACTACCGTACACAGAAATATCAGCTCCAAAGCTTAAAGAGAAAAAAAAAGAGTCCCCTTACCTGATTCCTGTCACGTGCACTTGTGTACCTGATCTTCTGGATGAAGTAAAATATTAACCATGCTGAAGAAATTATCATCAAAACAATGAATGATATTGACACAAAGACTAGGGAGCCCCTGCTGAAGTTTTTTGGAGGAACACGGGAACCCACTGCTATTGCCATCAGGACAGATATATTCTTTTCCAAATAATTCAGGATCTCCTTAACCTTTGATTCAGTAATCATGACAGCAACAATGTCTCCAGTTCCTATAAAAAGAGAAAAACAGTTAATTTACATTTTAAATTAACACAGCATGCTGCTCACAAGATTTTTTCCAAACTCAAAGCCATTTGATATCTTCGAGAATCTAATGTAAGCCATCTGTGGCACAAGGAGCATGCTACCGGGCACTCAACTCCTGGCTTGTCCTTCAAACCCAGATTTTGAAATGAGGGCATTAACATGCAAACTCTCTGCAGCACCACACATACCAACAGATCTCTACCGGTGGCTGCACAACACTTCCCACATCAGAATTACTGTGTGCAGTCTGCACGAGCTTTAACAAATGTGTTTATTTCAGATCTGAAGCTGTGAACACCTGAATACGTAACTCACAAAGCCATTTAGAAGAGGAGTTCAATGACATTGCTAGAGTGGTCTTAGTAGACACATTGTACAAGTTGCTCTGGGGAGTCATGCAAGTTCCCCTGCGTGGTGGGCTGGTTTTCACATGCCACCAGTGTTGTCAAGGACCTGTAAAGCACAATTCCAGCACAGAAGCAACAAAGCCAAGCTGCTATCTACATCACTTCATACGGAAGTGAAAGTAAAGTGAGTAAGCCTGGCTGCAAAGTAGAAGAGAAATTTAAAAAAAACACCAAACACCACCAAAAAACCCTCCCAAAAACCCAAACTTGGCAGAAGCTTGAGTGGTGATTTTATCACCCATACAAAGACACGCTTGATAAGATCGCAAAGAAGCTGTCAGCTTCATCAGCTCCGTTTTGAACGTGTAGCCCATCTGGTTTTCAGAGTGTCCTGCCTCTGGACTACCTCCCCTCCCAAAGGGAAAATTCTTGGCACAAGGATAATAAGAGAATTAAACCACAAGACTGCTGGAAAAGAACAAAATCACCTGTGGAGCAGAGAGCACCGATGTTTTAAAAGCAGAGGCCCCATTAAAAGAGGAGAATCTTGAGCTCAGGGCAATTCGGATCGAAGCTCTAAGAAAGATAACTTACAGGAAAGCCAAAGCCAGAAAGAAAAAAGCCTTATGAATGCCACTCTTACTCATCCAGATCTATTTGCTTCCTATATTAAAACCCCTTTCAAGACCTATTTTCAAAACGCTTGCAGAGCCTGCTCATCTGTTTGCTCCATCTGCTTGCTCCAATTCACATTCCCTCAGAGAGGAACTGTACAATGCAAGCGACTTCAGCACTGAGAGTCTGGATTCTGAGTGGATTTAAGCCAGAGAACCCAGTGTGACAGCAGAGAGAGAACATGAGATCCTATTATGAAACAAGGAATTTGGTCGATGTCTTTTAAACAAAAACTGATTTTTAAGAAGTTATTGTATCCACAAAATGATGTGGAAGATCTAGAAGAGCAGTGTCTTTGAAACCCAAGGCACAGTTAAGTCAGGGTCAGACAGAATCAGACAGCTACATAATTTTCCAAAATAGGGGGTTTTATTAGAGTTGTGTAACAGTCTTATATGTTCTTTCATTACTCTTCCCATTCACTATGCTAAATAGTAACTTTTACAGTCACCACCCTCAGTTTTCAGAGCAAGTTCCCCAGCACTGGTATAGTGGATTGTAGTGACAGAACTTCTCAGAAGAATCAAAGATTATAATCTCGGAAATTAAGATTTGCACAATAATTTTAAACATATTCCACAGCCCCAAGTTTCAACTTTTCTTTATTTAAAATTGCAATGGTAAAGATATTCATGCCTTGTCCTAGTAAGATGGGTCTAAGTAGGAAAAGAATGTTCAGTGTTTACTTCTGAATGAGTATTTTTGAAACAAGTGTCACAGCAACTCAAAGGCTTTGAATAGCAACCCAAACCCAACACAATTTATGGACACAACTTACTTAATCACTAGCATGCCACAGCTTCACACAAGGTCCACTTCAGTCCACCTCTCCATAGAGTTTTGAGATGTTTGGTTTCATGCAAACTCATCAAGATATTAAATAAGGCAGCAAAGCTCAGAGTAAAAATCCATCACTTGATTTATTTTCAGAGGAAATCTACTCTGATTCCTATTTGTCCAGCTGGGAAGAGAGTCCCTGCCCAGACTTGTACAGGACAAGAGCCACCTTTCCTGCGAGGTTCTGTGTGTAGATGCAGCATGTTACTCCTGCACCTCAGATGGTGCAAGATCAATCAAGAGCAGGGAATTTATACTGCTTGATATTTCCCATAAGCTTCACTTTGGTTCTTCACATCTAGTTCAGAGAGTGAAGAGAGGCTGGGAAGGGTGCAGGGGGACTGCATTCCCCAGAGCATGTTCTGCTGAGCTTCCCCCATAGGTATTGTTTGCACTGAGGATTTATGTTAGTATCAAAATATCAGTCAGAAGCATGCCATGTAGCATTCTGAGATAATTTACAGTTACCTGCAAAGCAAAGATGCCCAAGATCTTCCGATACTAGTTCAGTTCTGTCTGAATCAAAAGCTGAGGCCTCTACCTATTCCCTGCTGCCCAGGGAATGTGACAGAGCTGACAATCTGTTATACATTTTATATAAAGCCCAGCACAAAGGGAACCTCTGGCATCACTGCAAAGTGATTTGCATTCCAAATGACTCAACTGGGAACAGCCAAAGTGCTACTGCTGCTTCTGACCCTGCGAGAGCCAAGGAGAACTGCAGAAAAGAAAAATAATTTGTGCCTGTTTAACATACTGAAGCGGAAACTGGGACTTGGTTCATCCGTATTTTTATTTAGGGTGATGCCCCTGACAATTTTAGCAAGAGCTCCCTGTTTGAGAACAACTAGGGGCAGAGGAGACACTGACTCATTTATTTTAAGCACCCTGAAGCCTTGCATTTCTGAAACTTAAGCAGAAAACCAAAAATCCTCAGGTGAACACAGAAAAACTAACAGGGTTTGTAGAGGTTCGTGTATGGTCTTACTACATAATCCTATGAAATGCAATACCCTCCTCAGCCAAGAACACAGTGTCCAGAGAGAAGAAGCTGGAATGCTAACTAAAGCCAATGAACTGCACTTAACCATAGATGACAAGCTGGGACAGACAGTAGGCCTAAGATAAATATTGACGCCCGTAAATATAAATCATTTAATTGCTATCATCCAAGCCCAGACTGCTCTTCCTAGCTTGCAATTTACCATGTGCATGTTTAATTAGATAGTTATACAACTCTGTATGAAAAGGGATGAAGTTGCAATTAACCATTAAATCTGTGTAATACTGCATTGGGAGAGGAGGACTTAAAAGCTGAAAAGACACGAAAAACAAGATGATGGGAAAAACAGTAACATCCAGAAGTTTCGTGTACAGCTCCTCAGGAAAATGTTCTGCTCTCTCTTTAATCTATCCGTATCTCCTAGAAATTCTGAAAGAGCACATTTAGAAAGTCAATAGAAAGTCATCTCAAAGAAAAATTACTAGTCTCATCACAAGCAAATAACTGTTTCCTTTTGTGCTTGTTTTGTTGATTCTTGACTACCAAACGTTTGTCTGCAACTCCAAACATGGACAGCTATGGCCAGGACACCAAGCTAGAGACAGGCATGGTTCAAAGAGCAGACTTCAGGCACCTTCCATCCATCTTTGTCCCTTGCAGGATGCAGGGAATGGCAGCCTGGTAAAATGCAACAGGCAAACAGCTGATTTTTTTTTTTTTTTTTCCTGGTCTTATGAACAGCACAAGCAGCTGTTTGGTTACTCAGGGAGAAGGACAGGGGAGACAATTCCTCCTTGGGCATCTGAGCAACCTGGCACCGAACCGCGCTACTGCTGCAATGCTTCAACCACCTTCTCGCAGATGGGGAGGGCAAAACCCGAGATCCCATCTCGAGCCCAGCAAACGCTGGAGCACCTGTAAGGGGCACTGAGCTGTTTTTGATTGGATGTAACAAGGTTTGCAGAGAACTGGAATGAAGTCAGATACTCATAACAAAGGTTAGCACTTTTCTAGTGGCTGATATTCTCAGCTGAAGTCCTTGTAATTTCCTACGTCTCTGATAGTGCCTGCTGATGCTGCAGACAGCACAAAGAGAGAGACTGCACTCATCTCACGCCTGCAAAGCAGTATCATTCTCTCTTGAAGAGCAGACATTATTGAATTGTAACTGAATCCTTTCATGACTTCATTCGGAAAAACCTAAACTTAACACATTTATCTTAATTATTCTGCTGATGGAAATTTTAAGTACTTCCTTAAAAAAGCAAACAAAATCCCCACCTTCCTAGTAAAGGTAAAGAGTGGTGCAGGCAGTCACTTGTAGGCTGGATTCAGGGCATGATTCAGACACTGAAATGCCACTGTCTATTTGACTGCAACAATCGGAACATCGCCATGATAATGTAATGGGAAATAAAACCGCTCATCTTCACAAACCAGATCTCCCCATTCTTCTATTAAAATCCATAACTGTATGCTAAGCACTTCTGAACACATTATATCAGAAATACAAGTACAGCAATGCATACTATTCAGTGCCCAAGAAAGGGATCAGTCCTATCACTGTGAGTGATAGATTTCTTGGAATAGCATTAAGTAACAGGGAAACCAATCCAACAGAATTTGGGAGCCCACAAAACGTTGACAAAGAAAACTGGAGAGCACAAATTAAGTGCTATTGTTATATATGATGTTTTGAGAGACAGATCCCGGGTTCTGTGAAAAGACCAGAAGACATCTGAGCTGCCAGGGAGCAGTGGCAGAAGCAGGAATTACCCCTACAAGGTAAGGGATTTTGCCACAGAGGATATAATCCATGGAACCCACAAGGCGAGGGAAAGGGAAGAGGCATACTGAGCTGTATGCAAAGCTACACTGCTAGAGAAGGCGGGCTTGGGGAGCACAGCTTTGAAATATGAATTCCATAGTACTTAACACTGGGGGGAAAATACCCAAATTATTCAGATACCTTAAAACTTTAGTCTGATACAAACCAGATAAACTAATTGTGAGAATAAGTCTTACACTCTAAAACAGGCTTTTGGAAAAGCAGACACCCAGGAGAACAGCCTTCGCGTATCTGCCGAGTGATTAAAACGGG